TAAACACACCTGGGGAGCGGAGGGCGTCCCGCAGAACTCCTCCAACAAGCTGAGCTCCCAGCTTTCACTTGGTGGCCAGAGGGGTCCTTTTCAAATGGAAATCCAGATTCCTTCCAGATTCCTCCCCTGCATCCTCAGAGCCCTCTGGGCGTAGCCTGGGCCTCCTCTCTGCTCCTGGCTCAGCTTTCTAGGCAACTGGTCTCTTGCTTCTTGAACCTCCAAGCATGATCCCACCTCAGGGTCTTTGCCTGGGACTCTGTCCTAGTAACCGAGCAGGACCCTCTGGTCCTTCCCGGAACAGACTCCCCCCTCCACCTCCACCGTGTCCTCCACCTGCCTCTTGTTTGTAGAAAACTTTAGTCTCCTAGGCTTCCCCATGTTCCAAAGAGGACATTTAATCAGAGAAGTGAGAAGATGCAGGGGGTTGGGTGTAGCTCAGTGGTAGAGCCAGTGCTTAGCATGCACGAGGTCCTGGGTTCAATCACCTCCACTTAAAAAAAGAAAATGCAAAAAGAAAGGAAAATGGTCAAGTAAAAAAAAAAGTTTAGTCATAAAGCAAAGTCAAGGACCTTTAGCTCCTCCTCAGAGGTTATAGGTCACATTCTGAGCCCTGTCCTTCGAGCTGTTTTGCAGAGGCTGAAACCCCCACCAGGGGGAACTGTGCTGCCCACAAGCCCAGAGACCCCAGACCCGTTGGAACCAGAAGGTTGATGATGTTGACTCCCTATGACCTCACCACCCACCAATCAGAACAGTGTCCACAAGCTGGTCACACACCCCGCACCTCCCCCACAACCCAATCCCGGCCTCCCCGTCTCTAAAATCCTTTCCCCGGAAGCCTTCGGGGAGTCCAGATCTACTGAGCACCAGCGACCTGGGCTCCTTGCTTGGCCCTTGCAACAAACGCTGCGCGTGCCTTCCCCACAACACGGGCTCAGTAGACTGCTATACTGGGTGCGGGCTAGCAGACCCAAATTTGGCTTGGTAGCATCCTGACCCTGGACCCTGGACCCTTGACCCTCAGCTGGTTGCAGGGCTCCCATCTCCCTTCCCTCCGGCCCACTTAAATGTCCAGTGAGAGACTTTCCCGCCTGCCACCTCCTTGATTGAGCTCACCCCTGCCCCTCTTTGTTTTTCCTGAACATCTCTCAACACCTGCTGCGGCCATAGGTGTTTCTCTGTTTGTTCACTTGAGGCCCGTCATCCACACGGGGATGTGGGCTCCACAAGGCAAGGCTGCGTGCTGGACCCCCAGTGATCACATGTATGTGAGATTATGGGCTGGTCTGCCATGGTTACGCAAAGAGTCTTGGGTAGATTAAAACACGAATCTCAAAGGTGTATGGCTGGCAGAGGCTGCTCTGGAAACAAAAGATGTATAAAGGGTGAAGCTGGGGAGACGGACACGCTCCCCTGCCCTGGGGCCCCAGCCGCCTGCTCTGTGGTCTGCAGTCCTGCTGGAAGAACAGCAGCTGGGCGACGTCTCCCGGGCCCGCCCCGCTGTTCGCTGCCCTCTGGCGTCGCACCTCAAGTCCTCCTGCCGACGCGTCAGCCCCCTGCGTGTCTGCCCGTGCCGCCTTTCTGCCGGGCTGTGTCTCAGGCACGCTGCGCAAACCAACACAGAGAACACGGCTACCCAGTGGGCGGTTTATCTGGGGGAGCGATCCTAGGGGCAGGAGCAGGGGCCTGGGGACAGTGGCGCCGGCCAGCCTTTCCCGCGGCCGGGCTCCATCCCACTGGCCAGCAGCCCTGTCGGTGGGGCCCCGGGGTCAGCCTGCCCCACTTCCATCCTCAGGCTCCCCCCTGGACCCAGGGTGTGCGCGTCCTTGCGCTTGGCTCTGCGCTTGCAAGGGTCCAGCCTTTCTTCTTGTGGACATCACGTGCCTGGTGTGAGAGAAGCCTGGGGCCGAGAGGCAGCACCCAGTGTGGCTGAGCCTGGCAGGAAGGTTGTTAGACCTGCATCTGTGGTGCTGCAGCTGCTGGAGTGAAAGGCAGGCGGTGAGGCTGCGAAGAGGCCTAGGGGACACAGACCAGGAGGCCCGGGAGGCCCAGGGCCTTGTCTTTTTCAATTTTGTGTTCCCAGTGCCAGTACAGAGCCTGGCAAAGTGTAGGTACTCAATAAATGATTGCTGAATGAGTGAATGAAATGTAAGCACAGGAAAGTCAATGGAACAGTTTCGATTTGGAACAAAGTGGAGTTTAAGTCAGGGGTTGCACCTAGAAGCACTGACGGGCAGATGTTAGGGTGTGGTGGGGGCTGGGCCGGCCGGACAGCACTTGCTTATAGGAGACAGCGTCCCTCAGCTCCACGGAGGGAATGGATCCTTGCTGTCAGATTGTTGGGGCTTTCAAGAGAAGCTAGGAGCCCACATTTTGTGAGTGTGTGGGTGTGAAACCTTGTGATTTTAAAAGATTGGCTGCTAATTCCAATCCAAAATATAAAATGTTTGTAAGGACAACAGAGCCTGGCCAGAGGCATCCAGGGACCAGCCCGTCTGTGACACCTAACTTGAAACCTCGGGAGTTAAGCTAGATTTAAAAAGTCATTATTCCATGATAGAGACTGAGGAAGACGGAGCAGCAGTGAGTAGGTGCACACGCCTGCGAGTGTAAACTACTGCAGCCACATCAGTGCACAAGGAAGCCGTGGCCGTCAGTCATCAGCCACTCCCACCGCCCCCACGTGTGAGCAGGACGCTGGCCCTGGGGAGCTCAGGTGCAGATCAAAGGAATGCTTCCAATGAGCCCAGACCTTCGCACCTTCCCATACAAAGAAGAGGGCTAAATTCCTTAACTTGAGAAGTTTGAGAGAGGTTTTCTTTAATTAACAGTAACCTTCTGATGTTCCGACTACCTGGCCTTTGTTGTGAGAACTCCTGTGGATCCTGGCTCCTCCCTGCCTCTGCAGCGCAGCCCCTCAGCGCTCCCTGGGAGGCCGGCTCCCGGGCTCAGGAGTCTGCCAAATAAACCGTAACTCTCAGCTTGAGGGTTGTACTTGTTTTTTCAGTCGACATGCCCGAAACAGCACAGAGACAAAACCACGAAGGAAAACTTTTTAGAGAGGCAAGGAGGATATAATGGGCAGGAAGGTACTATATGGAAATGGTTTTAGACGGGAGCCAGAGCCACACAGCGCTTTGGCGACAGGCACAGAGGCCCAGGCTCAAAGTCCAGGGTGTAAAGGTCACTCCAGAAGTAGGAGCAGGCAGAAAGCACATGGGAGCCATGGCTCCAGGGGGGTGGGGAGGATTGCAGGGGAGAGTCTGGGTTAAGCTAAGTAACCGGGGTCACAGGGGAACAGAGAAAGTCCTGGCCAGGGGTGGCTGGGCCAGGCCACATATGTGAGTCACAGCCAAGGGCCAAGCTTTGCTTTCTCAGTGGTAGCTTCACTGAGATATAGTTCACACACCATACAATTCACTCCTTCAAAGTATACAGCTCACTGTTTATTAGTATATTTATCATAATTGATTCTAGGACATTTTCATCACCCATGAAGAAATCTCTGTCAACTGGAAAAAATGCACAACCTAAAAGCTGAAAATTATGCTTTACTCAGCGGACTTGCTGAGGACTTAAGGCCGGGAGACAGCCTCTCACAGAGCTCTGTGGGACTGTCCCAAACAGGCAAGGGAGGAGCCAGGAGATACAGGAAGTTTGGCAAAACAAACAAACAAAACCCCAACAAAAAACAAAACAAAGTCAAAAAACCAATCAGGTAGTCAAACATCAAAAGATTACTGCCAGTTAGAGAAAACCAGACATCCCAAGTTAGTGGACTTAGCACTTCTCTACGTACGGGAAGGTGCCGGCATCTGGGCTTAATGGAATCATTCCTTTGATGTGCGTGTTAACTCTCTAGGGCCAGTGTCCTGTTTTCCTCTGTCCTGAATCCGCTCGGGGTGCACAGCCGGGCGGCTGCAGTGGCTGAGGGCTTGATGGCCGCAGCATCCTTTGTGTACTGAGACGGCAAGTGACACTCTTTGTCCACACCTCATACCCCTTAACAGTTAACTTCCTTGCCTTCCCTCCCCTCAGCCTTGCCCGGCTACTAATCTACTTCCTGTCTCTGAATTTGCCTGTCCTGAACATTTCATGTAAGTGGAATCACATAACGTGGCCTTTTGTGGCGGGCTTCTTTCATCTTGCGTAATGTTGTCACGAGTCATCATGTTGTAGCAGGCGCTGGGTCTCCATTCTCTTTTTATGACGGGCTGCTATTCCACTGAATGGACAGACCACACTTTATGTATTCATCAGCTGATGGACCGTTGCTTGTTTCCACTCTTCCACGGCATGAATTGTGGCGCTATGAATGTTTGTGGACAAGTTTTTACGGGAATGTGTTCTCAGTTCTCTAGGATGTGCCCTTAGACGTGGAACTGCTGGGTCATGTGGTAACTCTGTGCTTAACTGAGGAGCCACTGGATTGTTTTCCACAGCGGCTATCCCATCTTGTCCTCGCCAGATGGATTGAGGATTCCCGTTTCTGCACATCCTTGTCAATATCTGTCATCACCTGTCTTTTCGGTTATAGCCGTTCTACTGGGTGTGCAGGATATCTCGTTGTGGGTCAGCCTGGCTTTATCAGTAATGAAGCTGACAATTTGATCTGCTTGACTTTGTGTCTCGTCTCACTTGGTTCAGAACGTGGGCAGGATGTTATTTACCAGACCCCCAAACCCCAACCACTGCCTCTGTGCCCCCTTGGGTACAACAGAACCCTCCCCGGGGTGCCCTGTCCCCAGTGTGGACTTCTGCCTGAGCTCCTGAAAACCTAGGTCCACTCATCTCTTCTTCTTCTCCTCGTAATGAGCTCACCCAGGGCAGATACCCATCCAATTGCCCAGCTGCTGGGCCCAGTGAATAAGCGTCCGGGCGTGCAGGGGCCACAGCTGATTGGTGATGTCTGCCACTGGGCGGGGGGAGCAGCAGCACGTGTGGGGGCTGTGTGGAGTCAGGTTCCCAGAAAGCTCCAGCTCCGGGGTCTGACGCTGGGCTCTGTAGAAAGGCTTTCCCAAGAGCAAGTGATCATGGCAGGACTGAGATCTGAAACCACCACCACACAAGGAATCACGGGCAAGGCGACCATCAAATCCATGCTGGCATCTCTTCAGAAAAGATTTACAAATGGCCGATGAGCAGGTGAAAAGATGTTCAAAACCATCAGTCCTCAGGGAAACGTAAATCAAAGTCACAGCAAAATACCGTGTTGTGACCTGCAGGTGCTATAATTAAAAATTGAAAAAATCAAGACTGGGGGGTGTAGCTTAGCGGTACAATGCATGCTTAACATGCACGAGGTCCTGGGTTCAGTTCCTAAGATCTCCATTAAAATAAACAAAAACCCAATTACCTCCCCCACCAAAAAATAATGAAAATAAATAAAAATTAAAAAGTGGAAAATAACAAGTGTCGACGTGGGTGTGGAGAAACCAGAGCCCTGTACATTGCCGGTGAGAATGTAAAATGGGGCAGCCACCGTGGAAGACAGTTTGGCAGTTCCTCAGCAAGTCAGAGTTTCCGTATGACCTGGCAGTTATGTGAAAGCAGTGACTCGAGCAGATACTTGTACGCTCATGTTCACAGCAGCACTAATCACAATAGCTAAAAGGTGCAAATGACCCAAACACACATCCACAGATAAGCGACAAACACAGTGTGGCACATCCACACCACGGAACATCGTTCAGCCGTAAAAAGGAACGAAGCACCGACACAACATGGATGGACTTTGAAAACATGATGCTAAGTGAAAGGAGCCAGGCACCAAGGACGCCCTACTGTGCGAGCCACTGGTACGAAATGTCCAGAAAGGGCAAGTCTGTAGGAACAGAAAGTAGATTAGCAGTTGACAGGGGCTGAGGGGGGGGGAGGTACTGCTGATGGGTACAAGCTTTCCTTCGGGGGTGACTGAAATACTCTGGGACTAGTTGCCCAGCATCGTGAATGTCCTAAATGCCACTGAATTGTACACTTTTCACTAGTTAAAATGGCAAACTTTGTATTATGCGTACTTGATCACAATGCCTCCTACAGCAGCCACCCAGCGGGACAGCAGGGTGTCCCCAGAGTGGCTGTGGCACCAGAGGTGCAGACAGATGAATTCAGGCCAGGGCGGTAAAAGGCAGAAATGACCAGCACAGTGATTGACAGGATGTGGGCGGGATGGAGACCAGAGAATCTGGGTTGACGCCAACCTGTGTCTGGGTGGATGCGTGCCTGTCACGTGGGTGGGAGCACATGTGAGGAGCAGTTTGGACCTGGTGATGTCCGTGGGATGTCGCATGCAGTTGTGCCGTGGGTCTGGGCTGGAGATCACGTCACGTCCAGACTCCTTGGTGAACAGATGGGAGTGAATCTGCTCAGGGCAAGAGAGAGGGGCCGGGAGCAGGGACCCCACGTCCTTGTGATCGGGGACAATCCTAGGTCATACTTACTGTACTGCCTCAATGCGGCAGGTGCCCTTTTTGCTCTGGGGAGAATCCTTGCTGGGCGACGACTTTCATGGTCGCCCACCACAGCTAAGGGCAGGGTGGCGGAGGAGGAGCCCGTGAACGAAACCAACACGGCCCAGCCGGGGCTGGGGGGAGGCAGGGGTGAGGGGGCCCACAGGGGCAGTGCCAGCCCTGAGCCTTTGCCCTCAGCTGCCCGAGCCTCGGATGCCACACAAGCGCAACCCAGCTGGTGATTACAGAGCAACGTGGCTGAGAGCTCAGGGTTCAAGCCTGTACTCAGCCTGGGAGGAGCTGCAGACCTTGGACCAGGGTTTCTGCACCTTAGCACTAAGGACACCTGGGGAGGACCACTCCCTGGGGCAGAGTTGCCCCGGGCACTGGAGGACGTCCAGCAGTGCCTTCTGCCCACCAGAGGTCAGGAGGCGCCCCTGGGTGGGCTATGACAACCACAAATGTCTAGACATTGCCAAGTGTCACCCCACTGAGAACCACCGCCTTGGACACATCACGTACTGTCAGTGCTTTGGTTTCTTCGTCTGTAAAGCAGATACTAAAGGTGACCTCCTGGGATCCCGTGAGGGTTAGACAATATCACAGACACAGCGCACGTGGCACATTTTAAGGGCTCCCAGTGTCAGTTCCGATGGGAAGAGGAGGTCCGGAGTCTCGGGCCCGGTGCTGGGGACACAGCAGGTGATCACCTGGGGGTTCTGGCCGTGTCTTTTGGAGACTGGCTTTGGGGAAGGAGCCCAAGGCAGCTCTGGGAGAAATGCTCAGAAGCGACCTCTGGGTATTCCTGCTGCCATGACACTTGGGTGGTCCTGGTGGGACCCGCAGCCTGAGCCGAGCGCCCGCCCTGGGTCTGCCGCTGCGCTGCCGCCCGGGCGGGGTGCTCTGAGGCAGTGGGGAGCCGGCTTCTGTGACTGGCGGAAGGGTCCTAGTCTTTCTCCCCGCAGGGCAGCCAATGACCAACTCAGCCGGGGACTCGCTCCACAGAGTGGGCACACCAGCATCGTCCACCCCTCCTGGCCTGCCTGGGATGTCCTGGTCTTGGCACTTGAAGCCCCACGTCCTGGCAAATCTTCCCGTTTCGGGCGGGCGGCCACCCCTGGCTGTCCCGACCCAGCTTCCCCAGCCTTCCCCAAGCTTGCAGCTGGGCAGCAGGGCCCCTGGGCCACCAGCTCTCCAGCTGGTCACACCTCAGGCGGCACCGGTTGGGTGACCTCATTTAGGCCCGGAGCAGAAATAGAACACGCAGCACCAATTAGCAGCTGCTCGTGAGCTGAGGGCGGCAAATCCCCCACAGCCTCCCCCAGGACAGGCGGTGCAGGGTCGTGGAAAATTCCACATGCAATGTTCCTCCACTGGTGGGAGAGGCTGTGAGGATGGGAACACACTCAGCTTTGCCTCCTGCTTGTCTGCAGGCCAAGGGTGAGAGCCTTTGGGGCCAGGGGAGGCGCAGACCCCAGGGATCCTGATTCTGTGGGGTGGAGGTGAGATTCTGCTCTTTCCACACGCTCCCCACGTCATCTGGGCACAGGGTGTCCTCGCACTGCTCAGTGAGATGAGGTGGGGTCCTGCCTCCCTCTGTCCCACCTGGGGTCTGGGATCCAGGCCCTGAACCTGCTCTACACCTGGCCTGGGGGCTACCTGCTCACTGCCCTGCCCTAGAGGCCAGCTGACGCATAGACGGCTGGGCAGGGCCTGGTAGAGGCTGCTGCTGCTGGGAGCTGGTCTCTGCCTCTCTGTCCACTCCGACTCTGGCCTCTTGGACCCACCGCAGCTGGCGTGGGCAGAGACCCCTGGCTACGTGCTGAGGGCCTTCCTCTGGTCCAGACTGCTTGGCTGGCCGGCCAGGTGACCGTGGGCCATTCTCATCACCTTTCCAGCCTCGCCCCGCCCCATCCTCTGTCCTCCCCTCTAGGGGCTGCATCCTGTTAAGAGTGGAGGGGCAGCAGAGACAACACCAGCTGGGGAGTCAGGGGTGCCGGGACTGAGTCTGTCTCAGCCTTAGATTTACTGCTAGTTTTGGGGCCTCGACTTGCCCAACCACAAAGTGGGGGAGCAGAAGTGAGGACTGTAAGGAGCCCCCCGGGGTTCTGACACTCTGAGTCTCCTGGGCACTTCCGGGCCCTCGGCACTCGGCCCAGGGCCTCCCGCACTCTGTGCTCCGACCTCTCGGGAAGCAGCAGGTAGGAAAGGCCTGAGTTCCGGGTGCACAGAGCTTGCTCTGTCTCCTGCTTAAACTCCTGCAGGAAAGAAATTCACCCTTTCCTCACTCTCTTCCTCTTCCAAGAAAGAAGCAGGTGGCAGCTGGCATGACCACGAGGCGCAGCGTGAATTCAGATCCACATTTAAAGGGTGCTGCCACCTCCCCCATGGGGGCAGACAGCCTGCGAGTCAGGGCCAGCGATCCCCCCCCGGCCCCCACCCGCTCAGCGGGGGCAGGAACGCCCCGGGAGCTTGCAGGCCTGGTCGGAGCTGCGGTAGAGAAGTGGGGGGGCTTCAGGGTCACGTAAACTGATTTCTCAGCTGTTCACAGAGGACTCCTGAGTGCTGGAGGTCCCGTCCCGTGGCAGGCCTGCCTTCACCCCCAAACTGATCAAAATCCCTGGTGTGATGCCGGCATCTCATCAAGGCGATTTCCCACGTACTGTCCCCTCTGAGCTTTAGAAGCGCGCGGTGTGGTCATCACCCCCAGTTCACAGGTGGGGAAGGTGAGGCTGGGGGAGGGGCTGGGACGCATCTGGATCACATGAAGCTGGGGCCACCTGACCACCGGCCAGCTCTCTGGCTGCACATGGTGTGGTGCCCATGACTCAGGGGTGCACAGGAGAGAAAGGGAGAGGGGCACTGGGGAGCTCTCGTGGGACGTGGGTCCCGGGCGTCCAGTGCGGCAGGGTGCGGGGGCCTAGGGGGCAGGACTCCAGGCGGCGGGCGCTGCCTCTGTGGGTGGTTAGTGGGAAGGAGCTCAGACAGTCCTACGGCAGGGGAAACACACCCAGTCTCTCTTCCCAATTCCGAACCCATCGGTTCCTCCTCCGTGCCGCCCTGGGTGGCCTGTGAGTGCGATGACTCAGGCCCGTCCCAGCTCCCACAGCCCCGCCGGGCCCTGGGCAGGACGCCTGGCCTGGTGGACGCTGGGTGTGGCCAAGGCGGGCAGCCGTGGAGGAGCGTCTGGGGTCAGCGGCTGACAGGAGTGACCGCGGAAATGAGGAAACAGGGAAGCAGGCAGGGCCCACACTCGGCCAGGCTCGACAGGTGCTCAGTGCCCGACCTTGGCTGGGAGCCCCAGAGTGGCAGTGCTGGGACCCCACGTCCCAGCTGGGCCACAGCTGGGCTTTAACAGCTCCCAGGAGGGACCCATCAGGCAGCCCTTCAGCAGCTCACCTGGGGCTTCAGTCTCCCTACTTCCTTCCTCTGCCCCTGCCCTCCCCCTCCCCTCTCCTTTGATCTGAAGGAGAACCCCGTGAGGTACTTTATGACACTGTTTTACAGATGGGGAACGTGAGGCCACAGGGGGCTGGGGCTTGCTCAGGCATCTTCCCCCTTCCTTCCCTCCCTCCCATGTCCTACCAAGCCACGTCCTGCACAGGGCCTGCCCAAGCAGTGCCCCTTCTCCTGGACTTGACACTGACATTTATAAGCCACGTGGCCCAGCTGCAGAGCAAGAGCTCTCCCTCTGAGCAGATCCCGTGGCCAAGACGGACCCGGCAGCAGGGCTGGGGTGAAGGGCCAGGGAGGGATGAGGGGGTCCCAGGCCCGGTGCAGCCCCTCTGGGACAGGGGTCCTAGTGGGGGGAGCCCCTGAGACCCCCGCAGCCAGAGTGATGGGGCAGGAGTGGGAGCGGGCATGCAGACACAGCCTGCCGCAGGGTCTCACAGATTCTAGCCGAGAGGGGCACAGAGGAGGCACCACAGGTGACTTTGGGGGCCCAGCTGGTGCTGCCAGGCCCACCAGTTGGGAGGGCACCTGGCATCGTGGACTCCTGCCAGAGACCCCTCTCTGCTCGCCTTTGCTGGCCTGGACGTCTGTCCTGCTGGCCACCACTGTCTACACACTGCCTGATGTTCAAGGCTGGGGCTGCCCCTCTGCCAGGGGCGCACAGCAGGCTGCTGGACCTGGGAAGCCCTGGAGGGTTTGGGAAGGGCACCCAGGGCCTGGCTCCCACGAGGCTCCTGGAACTCTGTCCAGGAATCTCACTTCAAACCCGGATGCATTCCTCCTGACCAGGCACCATTCCAAGCAGCCTCCCGTGCTTGATAATTCTGCTGCCTGTGGCTGATTCCTGGCTGTCTGTGGCCCAAATCTTGCTTCACTCTGCGCCACCTAGAGATGGCTGGAAAATGCTGCATCAAGGGAATTAGCCTCCGAGCAGAGCCTTCTTGCTTCCTGGTGTCTGGGAAGGATCTGGAGTCGTGAAGGTTGAGGTGGGCTGGGGGCCATGTGTGAAGGAGGAAGCACAGCTGGGAAGAACTGAGCTGGCTCTGGGAAGGGACTGAGGATTCCTACACAGAGGCTGGCCCTGGGGCTGTCCCCTGGGGCGCCCCTCCTCCACCCCAGGTCCAGCCCTTACCCTGCCCAGCCCTGCCCAAGCCAGTGACTTCCTGTTGTCCCTCTGCCCCCCGGGGACCACTGTAAGCATTTTGGCGCCTTCCTGTGGTGGCTGTCATGTGGTCATCCATCCAATTCACACCCCATTTTGTAGTGGCGATGGGGCCTGGGAGGGGCTGACCCCCTGCTTTGCTCCAGGGATGGGCCCCAACTGGCGTCAGCCAGAGTAAGGCTATGTTCCTTTACAAAGCAGTTGCCTCAGGGACAGCAAGTATCTGAAGTCTAAACTGGCAGTGCGGGGCACCCTCCTGGCTGCTGAGGCTGGTTCAGGGGCGGCCTCACTGGAGTGAAGCTCTGGGAGGCAGAACGCTTACTCCCCTGGCTGTGACTAAGGAAGCCCGTAGTCCTGGTGGTTGCTGGCAGCCATGCTGTGACTATGAGGGAAGCCAGTCTGAAGACCAAGTCTGCCCACAAAGGGGGGCAGAATCCAGACCACTGCTGAGAAACGGACCTGCAGCCCGGATTGGATTGTGTCAAAAGTCTTTCTCACACCTGGACTTTCTAGTTGCCGAACCAATAAATCCCCTTTAGCGTTTAAATCAGCTAGATTATGTTTTCTTCGTCTAGAGACATCTTAACTGACCCAATGACATTCTAGAATTTTCTTCTGTCTGTACATGTTAAACTTTTTCCAACAAGAGTGTAACCTGCCTTGTCCACTTAACAATAAACTGATCAACCCTGTTAAAAAAACAAAGGTGGAAATCGTCATTTTTAATGGCTGTGCTGTGGCACGCCGGTGGCCGCGCAATTCATTTAACTCATCTCATCTGTAGTGGGACGCTTAGGCTGTTTCCAACTTTCGACTGTTTTCAGTAGTTGACAGAGAGCATGTACCTTCGGCCATCTGCCCACCCACCTCCTCAGGACGAGCCCCCAGGAGGGCGGCCGCAGTGTCCAGGCGTGCGCGTGCGCCCAGGGCTCTGGGCTCATCCGCAGCAGTGGGACGCCGCTGACGCGCCGCCGCCGCCGTGACGCGCTCCTGCACCGTGACCAACGTCACCCTTTTCCATCTTCGCCAGCCCACCAGCAAGTGGTATTTCATTTACTTTTTCATTTATTTTTTAAAATTTTTTTAAATTAAAAAGTCCCATTTTCATTTGACCATCTGCCACTTGTGTTTCCTCTTTGTGCCCTTTGATGTATTTACTCAAACATTTAAAATATATACTTCATCAAAAAAAAATCAGACTGCTTCCTCCTGGGGCCTTTTACGTCCTCATTTATCAGATTTCCACATATTGACACTGGCGTACACTGTATGTCATACATGGCGTATATTCTGTCCAATTACAAAAACACTGACAAACAAGGTGGCGGCATTTTTAGGGGTCAAATCAATCGCTTTGTCAGCATGGCCCCTGCCTCAGGGGCTGGTGCCGGTGCAGGAGATACTGAGGTCCTCCCCGGTGTCCGTGCCAGCCCTCCCTGGTTGGGGAGTGGCCACCGAACTGGGAAGGGTCCACTCCCATGGCAGCTACACGGAGGCACACTCACTGACCACGCCGGTGTGGTATCTCCAGGCCACAGTGACTGGTTCAGGGGAGGCACGTGACGCAAGCGGGCCGGCAGAGGCAGCTGGTGACCTCAGTGGTCACGTGCCTTCTCCGAACACACAGTCCCCTCGGGACCTGGCCAAGTACACACGCCGAGAAACTCCCTTTAGAGTGTGAGCTGATCTGGACTGGATTTTGTGTTTTCTGCAACTTCCAACATCCCAACTCATGGAGAATTTAGTTGTACTAGGACTGGGATGTCGCTAGGTGCAGACCCTCAACTCTCGAAGCGGCTGAACCAAGTTAGGGGAGGGGGCGGGAGGGAGAGGCCCTGTCTCTCATGGTGGGGAGGTGGGGACCCTTGCTATAGGTCATGAATTATTGTGGTCGGCTGAATAGCGACCCCCCAAGATCTGCACATTGCTCCCTGGAAACTGTGAGCATTACTGTATACGGCAAAAGGGTGCTTGCAGGTGTGATTCGGTTGAGGGCCCTGATGGGGAGATCAGCCTGGGCTCCCCGGGCACGTCCTCGTGAGAGTGCCTGGGAGCCGCCGGTGAGAGAAGACGGCGTGACGACGGAGGCAGAGGTTGGAGGGGCGCGCTCTCAGGATGGAGGACGGGGCCCGAAGGGAGAAAGCAGTCTCCCTTGCAGCCCCTAGAAGAAGGCAGCCCTGCCCACACTTTGCACTTCTCAACGCCGGGGCTGAGAGTAACTTGTGCTGTTTACGGGCACTTAGTCCAGGGCAACGTGCCACAGCAGCACTGGGAAATGTGGGAAAGGAAGCGACTATTACTCCCCCCCACTTCACGTGGGGGCGCAGGCCACGGGGGCGGGCCCTCCACGCAGGTGTGGCTGTCTGCACCAGTGAAGGGCAGGGAGAGGCTGAAGGAGCCGAGTCACCGAGGGGAAGACGCAGTGCACGGGGGCGGGGCGCACGTGCCTCCTCCTTCCTCCTCCCGTCAGTGCTCTTGTTTTCGCTCAGACTCCTGTCTCCTCTACAGACAAGCAGTGCGTGCTTTTCCCACACTGACAGTTGGTTTGGCCAGAAAGTGCAGCTACTGAGTGGAGGGGGAGAAGGCGAGTGGGCTCACACACACAGATCTTTGGCAGCAAGCTCAGGAGCCACGGCTGATGGGGGACCCCCGGAGAGTTTGGGACAGGAGACACTGCCTTAGGATGAGGTCCATGTGCGGCGCAGGGGTGTGGGGTGGGTGGGGAGAGGGGGAATGGGAGCTGGGCAGGGAAGCTCTGCATTCTGAATTTCAGGCGGCACTCAGGGCCCCCCTTGCCCTGGGCATCCTCTCTGGCCACCAGGATCCTACCCAACCACTCTCCAACAACAAAGCTTGGGAGTTTTAGGTGGAAGGGTGGACACCCAGTCAGAACCTCCGCTTCCCAGCATCTCTTGACTGGGGTGGTCATGTGGGATGTGAGTGGAAGTGACAGGCGCCAGCGATTCACTGACACGTCAAAAGCTCGGGGAAAAAAACAAGTAAAACCAACGAAATCACTGAAGTAGGAAGTAGCAAGTTTATCGAGCACACACCAGAAGGATAGTTTGCAAACCAGGAGCACCCAAACCAAGATGTGGAGCGAGGCTCAGAGGGACGTTACGGAGCCGCCCACATGGTCTGAAGGCAGTGAGTGAGTGTGCTCCACAGTGACAGGCTACAATTTCCTTAAATAAAAGAGAACTGGTTAGCGGTCACCTCATATCGACTTTGGGGAACAACTTAAGTTTCGCTTATGATTTTCAGACAAATAAGCAAGAAGTGATCCAGGTCACGTTAGCGTCACTTGTCTTGGAAAATAAGCTGAATTAAGCTTTGCTTGTATGACTAAACTGGTTTTGTCTGCTCAGGGAATTTTCCAGTTTGGCCTCTGTTTGTGTTTGATTTGAGCACACGTATTCGGTGTGTGGGTCTGAGTGTCTGATCTACCTACAGGAGGCCCTCCAAGGTCTGGCACCGGCTCAGGGAACCCACTCTACAGCCAAGGAGGTGGTGGTGATGTGCCCATGGCCACTGGACCCACTGTTCCTACAACATATCCCGCCCCACCCTGAGGCTGTGGCCTGACAGAGCAAGGAAACAGGCTTTCTGCTCGGAGCCCGCGACCTGCAAGGACAGAGCACGGCCTTCAGGACGCAGCGTCCAGCCTGCACAGTGCTGTGATCCTCTCAGTGAGGACAGGGCTGTGGGAGCCGGGGTGGGGGAGCAGGAGGCCCTGACTCTCATCACTCTCAGGGGCATCCGTCTTTCCTGTCCTCCCCGTTCTGGCCTCTCCTGGAGGTTCCCAATCCCAGCATGGGAGCACTTCCAGAAAAAGACACAGGAAATCTCACTGAGCTTAAAAGTTACGGCTGCTGCCTACTCGCTTTGGGCTCCTTGTGCCAAGACTAGCAGGCAAGGAAAGGGGTCTTCTGACACTGGAAAAGGCAAGGATGCTACCGCACGGTGGGGGCAGAGAACGCTTCTGGCATCTACACGAACCATTGGGTTTGATGGAATATGGGCAAGTCCAGCGGCCATGACCTGAGAAGGGTGTGAGGCCTCTCCGATGAGACCACTGGCTGTGAGGCCTCTCGGATGAGAGTCTGGGTCATCCGACAGGTTAAGAGACCTAGACCAGCAGAGGTGCTACTGGGGTGGGGGTGGGGGAGGGAGTCTACAACAGGTAATGGTGGAGGGACAGCACGGGTCACTGTCGTGGCTCCAGGATCCTCTTGAAAGTCTCCCCAGTAAAAGGGACTAACCGGAGTCCTGGAGATGTTGCTAGATGGCCAACTTACGTGGAGCCAGCGGCCCTGAGTGGTGCACAGGGCGGGCAGTGGCAGACGCTGCCCTCTGCTGCCCAGACTCCCCCTGGAAGACCGAGGCTCTCATTTCCCTCAGGGTGGGGAGTATCGGCTGCTGCTGGTTCAGCAGTAAGTCCCTCCTTGGGAACTGCGCTCAGCAGAAGGGCACTTCCTCCTCTTCCCAGGGGCAGCCCACATTCGATGACTGGTCCGTGCAGCCGTACAGACGCTCTACCTGCTCATCTCAACTCAAGACACCTCCGGGGCCCTCCTGGGTTGGCCTGATGCTCCATGGCAGCCCCTCAGCTCAGCTTCTCCCCACTGAGCCACCTTCATGCAAATATCCATCTCACCACCTGTTTCCCAGGGACCCAACTTGCATCACAGATGGAGCCATCCTAGATCACCACCTGTTACGCAGCATCCAGTCCTCTCCTGTCTCCTTGCTTCAGTGATGATGTTTCCTCTACCTGGAACGGCTCCTTGCATTGTCCTGTCGTAGCTCCTCCACCTGAAACAGCAGCCACAAGTTGTATCAGTCGACCTGCCTCCCCGAGCCTCAGTGAGGGCTGTTCATTCACTGTCGCATCATTTACAGTTGCCTTTTCCAACAAGAAAAGTTACAGCAGCTCAGTGCATGATAGGGTAGGAGCTCCATAATTACATTTTAATGTATCACAAAACAATTTACACGTGCAGAACACCATAAATAAAACAAACACCTGAATGCACTCCATCTGCCTTAAGAAGTGAAGCATAATACAACTGAATCTTCTCTGAATTCCTCAACGTTCTCAGCAGCACACAGAGGCTACCACATTCCTTAATTTAGCTTTCCGTATTTTTACTTAAAAAAGGGAATTACATGGTGTCATACCATGTGCATTCATAGTCAACTTTTTTTTCACTCAAAATTGCTTGTGAAATTCATTTGTTGACATGTGTAACTAATTTATTCATGTTTACTATCATAGAGCGTTCTCGGGAACACTAAGTGTAATTGATCAGCCTTCCCCAGGAGCCACGTTTCTAATGAACATTCCTGTCTCTGTGCACAGGCAAGTCGCCAGAGGGTACACAAAGGAGTGGGATCACTGGGCTGTAGAATGTATGTACCTGTGACTACTAGGAAGTGCGTACGGCCACCCAAAGTTACTGAATGAATTTATGCCCCATCAGCAGTGAACCAGCACTCTGCACTGCTCATGAATCCACATCCTCGTCAACTTGGCACTGACAAGATTGTGAGATACTATGCCAGCCTGTTAAGTGTGAAATGGTACGTCCTTGGCTGTAATTTTATATTCACCTAAATCTTAGAGAAGGTAAGCCTTTTTTTTTTTTTAAATGGAGGTACTGGGGATTGAACCCAGGACCCTGTGCATGCTAGGCATGTGCACTACCACTGAGCTATACCTTCCCCCTGCTCAATCGTACTTTGTTGCACAGATGAATGAAGGCTCTGCACATTTTTCCCCTGTGTTCCCACATTTGTTGTCTGATTCCCGCGTAGTCCCACTCCTAGCCTACCTCTGCTGCACCCTGGGTCTCACGCCCGGCCTTCCACCAGATAGTCCTTCACGTCCATCTCTACCATGCCTCTGGCATTTTCTGGAGATTCTCTCTATCTTGACTGTTTTTTGATTATGTTGCTCATACTGCTCACCTATGCCTGACCACTGGTTCTGAGATTTCACTCAGGCCTGTCCTCCCCTGTCTGACCCTGTCTCCTCATCTGGGGACTAATATGTCCTCTAACTTAGTGCCTGGCTGATGCCTCCCATCTGACCTCAAACCCAACGTATCATAAACCCATCCTAAACTTGGTTCCAAACAGGCTCACTGCTTGCTTTGATGTTTCTGTCAGCGGTGGGAGTTATCCTTTGCTGAGACAGTCTTGAAGCCGTCAAGTCAGTCTTGGTCTCCCTCTTACTCCTTCCCCTAAGAGACAGTAGATGGGAAAGCATGAGGTCAGTTATGAGGAGCAACCAAATCTAAAATGTTACAGTTACATCCAATCAGTCACGAACTGCTGTCATTTGTTCCTTTGTAAACTCTATCCTCTTAGTCCTGCTGTCACTGCACTCACTGATCCTTGTGATAAGTGGGACCGAGTTGGGGAGAATCCCCAAGGTCCCCAGCGCTGAGGGCATGGAAAATCTGTAATCAGAGAATATAGTCAAGAACTAGCAGACGTGTGTCCAGGAGCTCCCAAAAGCCATGCTGCAGCTCCAGTCTGAAATGCCAGTCCCCGACCCTCAGTTTTGGTCTACAGCCGATAGAAATACAAAGCAAACCACGTACGTAATTTCAAATTTTCTGGTAGTCACATTCAAAAAACAGAAAGAATATGAAAATAACTTTAAGCAATACATTTGACTGAATACAACATACACAATATATTGTCACTTCAATATGTAACCACCATAAAGATTATCATTTTCATTCCTTTTTTTGTACTAAATCTTTGAAATCCTGGGTGTATTTTACCTTCACGTTTCAAGCGGCGATAGCCGGGGCCCAGGCAGCGGAATTTCTCTCGCTCCAGGCGCAGCGCTTCCTCAGTCGCAGCCGGGCCTAGCCCCACCCTCCCTGCCCCGGCCACTTCGTTAGGCTGTCTGTCACTCCGCGGCTCTGTAAGTCGGCCACTTGGTACTTACCGGTCCCTCCCAAGTGCGGGCGACACGGCCTCGACCACCACCCGCAGCGGGAGCTTTCGGTTTCCGCGTCGCCCTGCCCTCGGACAGCGCCACTGTTCTGCTTCGCCCAGTAAGAGACACCTGGGCCACTAAGAGTCCGGGCCGAGCAAGCCAGCCGGACGAGACCACAGCCGCGGTACCCTCTCCGCCGAAACGCCCCGAAGGCGCCCTTTAGTGACGCCAGGCGCCCGCGCCGTGCGTCACGCGCGCCATGGACGGAGGCGGGACTTCCGGGCGCGCGGAGGCACAACTTCCGGAGGGAGGCGGAAGAACCTCTCGGCTCTACGCTCGGGAATCCCGGGACCGCTGAGGGGCCGCCCGGGGTGCAGGAAAGGGCCGCCGGGTCTGACTGGCAGCACTCGGAGTGTCAGGGCCGCGGACCTGAGGGATGAGGAGGGGCCATGGCCAGCGACGGGGCCAGGAAGCAGTTCTGGAAGCGCAGCAACAGCAAGGTCCCTGGCAGGTGGGTGTGACGGGGACCTGGGTCGGGGTCAGGGGTCAGAGGTCAGGTAGGCGCGTCGGCCTCCTGGGCTGCGGGTGGAGTCGGGGTCTGGCGGGCGGGTAACCTGGGCTCTGAGGAGACTGCTCGGGGTGTGAGGGGCGTAGAGGGGGCAGGGGGTCGTTGCGTGGGGTCTGGGAGGTGGCAGTGGCCGCAGGTAGGAGCGAGGCTGGAAGGGAGAAGGAGCAGCGGCTGGCGGGTTCGTCCTGAGGCTGGCGGGCTCCCTTCTGCGAAACTCCTCGGCCCCTGGGGAGGCTGAAAAGAGTGACTCGGCTCGTGCCGCGAGGAGTTTGGTGGAGTGAGGAAAGTGGCCGGGACAGGCTGTGCCTGCCGGGGAGATCTGTGATCTGTTTCTGCAGGGGCGCGGTGGTTCTGACCCACTTGATTGGCCTTGTCTCTCTCGTGGGCTGCTGCTTTTGCTTCGAGCAGGGAAGAGTACTGAGGCTCCCTGTGAATTTCCATGTTCCCGCTCTCTGGCCTCAAAACCAACTCCTGTCTTGAGTCAGCTGCAGGAAGCAAATTAATTTTTTTTTTTAAATTAAGTGCCTGTAGTGACCCGGGTGCACCCTGGAAGCTGTGCAACTCCAGAGTCCTCCTCTGACTGATGTGTCACCCAGCCCAGCCAGGGCCCTAGGCAACATGCAGATGTTACATGGAAAACACCTAGGGTAAAACCAGATGCCGGTGAAAATAGATGAGCCATAAACAGACTTCAAGATTTCTAAACACTGCTGTGCTTGGAAACTAAAATCTGAGATACTGAAGATTAAGAATTGTGGTGTTAACTCCAAGTAGAATCATTCATAAGTACAGTTTATTCATAAGTATTCACAGTAAACGCTGTTGTTTGAGTGATGGAATCATAAGCTTTGGAATTCACTGCGTCCAGTCAGAAACATTTAATTTTCAGAGTGGTTTGGGAGTTAGCAAAAGTAAAGTTACTGAATGCCCAGAACAGTGACTTTGGAGGGGGCGGTTAACATTGACCAAAGACTGTGTTTCACTCCATAGGATTGTGCTGGATTGAAGACCAGTAAGAGGTTTTGTCAAGACCAGTGTCAGGGTCCAGGATGATGTGAAAATTCTGGAATGGCAGAGAATGGGAGGTCACAATATGACAGGAACAAATAAATGCTCTAGAACGTAGACTCCAGGGAAAAGGAGCCATGTGTCAGGAGAACTTCTGTGTGTTGCTTTTAGGTCTTGAGATTTTGGTTCCTCCTCCGTCTAAGTAAACTGTTTCTTAACAACCAACTGAGATATGAGAATAGTCAAGCTCCTGTGTGTAGTTTTAATGGCAAATAGACCTTTGGATTGACGACTGTGTCTTTTGGTAATTTGTCCTTGTGTTGGGTTCAGTAGTGCCTCCCCCGCCCCCCGTAAATTCGGGTCTCTGGAACCTCTCTGAGTGTGCCCTTGTTAGGAAATAGGGTATTTGCTGATGTAATCAAGTTAAACTGAGGAATGAGGTCATACTGGATTAGGGTGAGCCCTGGTCCAATGACTGACGTCCTTACAAGAAGAGGGAAATTTGGATGCAGAGAAACAGACCTAGGGAAGAAGGCATGTGGAGCTGAAGACAGGTTAAAGTGATGCATTTACAGACCAAGAAATGCCGAGGATTCTTGGCAACCAGCAGAAGCTAGGAGAAGCAGGAAGGATCCTCTCCTAGAGACTTCCGAGAGAGCCTGGCCCTGCTGATTCCTTAATTTTGGGCTTCCAGCCTCCAGCACTGGGATAGGATAAATTCCTGTTGTCTTAAGCTGCTAAACTAAGTCTGTGGTACTTTGTTATGACAGCCTCAGGAAAATGATACTGTCCTCAACTTTGTCCTGTGAAATCCTGCATTACCAGACAGGATTTCCTTCTCCTTTGGTTTTGGTGCTGGGCTGTGTCTTAAGCATCTGTGAGAGCAGCTCCCGGGTGAGTTTCAGAGTTAAAGTTGCGTCTTGGAGAGCTCCTGGAGGCTGTCCGTGCCGAGGGCAGGCAGAGAGGAAAGGGTGGCCCTCTCCCTGGAAAGGCCTGCACAGCCGCTGTGTGCCCCTGGCCTCCTGTGGCCTCACCGCTGGCTGTGCTGCTGTTGGGGCGACAGAAGGTGTTGCGAAGGTGCCCATTTTCCTCTCAGTAGGTGACCTTCCTTCCACTGGCGGTCACTAGCTTAGTCTTCAACTACACAAACGCAGAGCTGTCAGGGCCCCTTGCAGGCTCCGGTGGCTGCGCGACTCTTTCTGGGGGTTCCTGGGATTGTTTACCTTTCCTCTAGGGTGGACCTCAACCCAGAGAACCTCAGAGGAGGGGGAACACACCCACCGCAACATGCGGGGCTGTTAAAGGCGCTTCGATGTGGCACAGTCCTTTACACGATTAATTCCTTAGTAATAACTCCTTATGGCAATGATGGTGACGTTCAGCGAGCGTTTACTATCTGCCCAGCGCTGTCCTTGGTGCTGGGCTAGGGTTCTGTCGCCCTCCTGTTTTAGACTTTTCGGAACACATGCTCCAGGTGACACTGAGGTAGGCTCCGTTTAGAGCCTGTTAGTTGTTTTCCCCAAAGCGTCGTGCTGAGAAGTGGTTTTGCATGATATCTAAGGCCCTTTATGAGCCGATCCCACTCAGCTCTTTTGCCCCATCTCCTGACCCTTCTTGTGCTGAGCCTTGCCCTCAGCGGTGCTGATGGACTTGTAGGTTCCTTGGGGTACATGCTGTACAGTTTCAGGCTTTCGTAGCTGACCAGAATGTTCTTTCCCTCCCTCCCCTCTCCTTTGCCTGCCTTACTTTGCAAACATTTTAAAAAGTTCACTCCAGGGTACCTCCTTGTAAAGCCTTGCCTGTCTTCACGCCGTCTGGACGACAGGGCCCCTTCGTGCATCACGCTCACTGTTGCTGGGATGTGCTTGTTTTCGCCACCGGACAGCAAGCTCTGCAGTTTAGGGAGGGTGTCTTACTCATTGCTGCATCGTTAGTGCGGAATCAATGAGTGGTGGTTGATCTGAACTCCTTTCTAGATTAACCTCGAGAGAGCAAGTGACGGCCAGGGCCTCACACTGCGTGAGGGGTGGTCTTGCTCGCAGAGCCGCTCCCCTTTGCACACCCGGATCCTTAGGTTATGTGTTTGGCTGATGCTTCCTTGGAAGTTTCTGTTCTGGATGAGGCAGGATGTGTGATGTGGTGGAAAGACGTTCTCACTAGGAATTGGGTGGTCTGGGTCTCAGCCATCTTTGTCTGTTAATCTCTTCGTGATCTTTTCCAGGTCACAGTGCCCCTGGGCCGGCAGTTTCTGTGTGTAACCTGAGGGAGTCGTGTTGGGCCTTCGTGGCTATGACCGATGGGAGGGTACTTGCTTGGCCTAACCCTGTTCTCTTTGGTGAGGATGAGAGAGGCCTCTTGGACTGGTTTTGAGAGTTTGATAATTTATTGATTCAGCAAATATTTATTTAATCCATATTATGTGCCAGTGATGGTTCCAGGTGCTAGGGATACATCAGTGAACAAAACAGACCAAAATCTCTGCTCACGGAGCTAACAGCAGAGTGGGAGAGGCAGAGAATACATAGAGAGTTAGAAGATGTCACTGTCGGGAGGTGACACCTGCTGTCAAAACAAAGCTGGGAAGTGGGATAGATGGTACGAGGGCAGGTGCAGTGGGGAGGGTTTCATGGTCACCAGGCGGCCGGGTGAGCCCTCACAGCGGGTGACATTTGAGCAAGATTTGCAGCAGATGAGGGAACAGGCCTCCTGGGTGGCTGGGAAAGGGGGGTCTGGGCAGAGGGGCGTGCACGTGCAAAGGCCCTGATTTGGGATGATTTGGGAGTGATTCTGGTTTGTGGGAGAAAAGGGCAAGGGCCAGTGTGACTGTAGCCGAGAGGGAGACAGAGTCCTGGGGCACGCGGCCTGAAAGGCGCTGTGGGTGGGTCTCATGTCCCAGGAAAGACACGGACTTTCAGTCTTTTATTCTGAGTGAAGGGGGAGCCTTTGGAGGCTTCTTGGCAGAGGCGGGGCAAGACCTGCCTTTGGTGTAGCAGGCGGGCTTTGGCTGCCTGGTTGTAGGTAGACTGGGGGCTGAGAGGGCGTGGGCAGGAGAAGGGAGACCAGTTAGGAGGCTCTGTGAGCATCCAGATGAGTGATGATGGCACCTTGATGAGAGTCAGGAAGTGGACGATAAGAATCAGAGAAGGTTCGGCCTGTTCTTTCTCGGGCCACTGGCTCGCTTGGCTCTCTCAGGGCCATCGCTTTCTGCAGTTGCACTTGGCGTTCCTGCCATGCTCACCTGTAAATGCCATGACGCGATCACAGCGCACTGGGTGTGAGAACACAGGCCGCCTTTCAGCGTGGGTCCGATCCCCGCTGCCTTAGCACGGCCCTGCGTGGCGGTCAGCTGGAGGAGAGCAGTTGCTGCGGGGATGATCATGCAGACGATATTAGGAGCATCTTTGATGTGTCCGGTACTGTGCTGAGTTCTGAGCAGAGAGGAGGCCCCCAGGGGCTGCCGGGCTGAGGGGGTCGGTGAGCACACGGCACATAAACAGCCTGCAGGGCACAGTCCGGTGATGTGAGCAGAACAGTGGGCACCGCGTCCAGAGAAGGTCACATCCTCCTGGAGGAGGTCTCACCTAAGCCGGGGAAGGGGCCAGCCTGCCACGCAGAGCTGCCGGTCGGGGGTCACTGCACTCCTGGTGGGGAGGGGGAGACGAGGGGAGGGGCTGAGCAGGGCCCAGAGCACGCAGGCCTCCTGGCCCTGGAGAGGATTTGGGTCTTGGTGCTAAGAGCCGTGAGAAAGCACCAAGGGGTGATACTTGATGCTGTTCCTCCTCCTTGAATAGGGCGTGAGAGGAAGCAGGTGCGGGAGGGGAGACAGAGCAGCGGCTGTGGAAGGGAGTGGGGTGGACGGTCCAGGGCCCCTGCTGCAGGCGGAACTCGCAGGGTTTGCTGTGGGCGGGGTGTTGGGGGTTGAGGTGATCCCAGGG